TACATTGCTGTGAAGTCGAGCGTAACCAGAAATGTGGCAACCAGGCGCGACCGCAGATAGATATGTGACTCCACGGAATGAGTGCGGACGTGGTTACATTGTGTAGGTCTTTCCTTCAATATCTGTGTTTCAGCTGCTACACTATATTGCTGACTTTCTACATCGGACATTATCACTGCAGGCCCTTACCCGACCTATTAGCATTCCCAAATCCTTTACACAGATACCGAAATCCAGCAAAAACCGTCGCGTCTGTTGTCCGTAACAGGTGCCTGCTCCACACACAGGACCCGTATCTTCTGAGCGCCTCGGTGACCCCGGCCAACACGCCCCTTTGTATTCCGCCCGAGGAGCGTTTACCGCAGAGCGGTCCATCGACCTCCATACAGACGGGCTTTGTCTCCGGCTACGGTCTCGGTTTACCTTTGTGTAACGGCGGGACGGCCGTCCGACGGCCCAAACACTCTCCTCTGCGGGGCTGCCGAGAGCAGCGCCGAAGGTCTGGGGTCCTGGTGGAAATATAAACACCGCTGGCCTTGGCTGAGTGACCCGGCGAGTCTCGACAGCCCCGAGGGACCTAAAAAGTCACGGGTAACTATAGGAAAAGAAAACGAGCTGTGGCAGCATGCCATGCCTTTCATTTTAAGAGAAATCCGTCAACCAGTTTGACTGTCAGCCTGCAAGTAAATATGATGGCACGTTCATGGTGTGCAGTCCGCAGTTTTCAAACTCTTCGACTTTTAGTGAAGTATTTAGCTACCAAGAGCGCTTGACACAACTTATAGGTATCTAATTAACAAGCACCAACCATATAAAGAAAATTCCAGTATCCCAACCGATTCAAGCACTCACATTTAACATTCCCAAATGTTCCTCAAACCCAACATCGTTTACCAAAGGCATAATCCCCGATTTCTGCCGGCCCGTCTATTTACCCTGTGAGCCGTCTTTAGCACCCGGCTCTGGCTCTCGGTCAATCGCATCATTTCCGAAATGTGCCGACGGATCATAAAACCATCCGGCCAGAGACCTGCATCAGATTTATCGCATCATTATTTGCGACTTACGACCGCCCTGTGGGCGTGAAGGATTTGGAGTCCCTCTGGCAGACGAATCGGCTTAGGTTAGGGTTTTTGTGACGGTAAAAATGCTGCTCATTTTTGCAGCATGGGTTGTATGTATGTAATGTGTCATTCTCATCTCTGTTACCAAAGCATTGTTGATCTATTTTGCCCAAGTTCTGGCTCTGTCATGCTGCAACATGGAAAGGCAACAAGTGTCGCCGTAAAATTTGTGGTACTGTTTATGGGATGGAAATGTTTATTGTCCCCAGGAACGACCCGGCTCCCTCAGAATAACTCCTTGGTCGGCCGTTTATTTGGTTGTCTGAGTCCCGTGCCGATGTCACCACTGCGCCGAAATTGTCTGCAGTGTTTCGAGCTGACTGACGAGCCAGCCAGTTGTGGTTCTCATTTGAAAGTGAAAACAAGTCGTAAGCAGGCATCGGACAATATCAACGCCCGATACATTTCCCCAGTGTGTGGTGGGCAGGGCTTAGCCGTAGGTACAGAACACACAGCGTTTAGCATTTGGTGGCACGCTGCACAGATCGATTAACATTTAAAAGTCGGCGGATTTTAATTGATACCGGCATAAAAGGTAATTAAAGGGTAGTTTTTACAAAACTGGAAAACAAAATGTTTGTTTTGAAGAAACATTTCTAATTACCTTGTTTAATTTATGCTTGTCAGTTGGAAGATGACACGCATCAGACTAGGATTGGTAGGCTGGTTGGTCGACAGGGGTTAGATGGCTGAAGCAGACTGAAAATAATTATTTTCCTCATTATGCTATTTTTCTGATTTCGCTCATTTTTTTACGCTTAGAACATGGCGAGCATCATCGGATACATTTCACTCAGTACACAACCTTGCGCGGATTCACTTTATCACTATGTAACATGCTACACATCGCATGTAGGACAGGTACCTATTAAAACTCGGTCACCTCGTACAAAGGTCAGGTCGCATCACCTTTATTTATTTACGGTGCCCGAATTAAGCCGCCTGATGACGTCATCTGTGGTCTGATATACGTCATCTGAGATGGGTCGGCTGGGTGCGTTATTACTCCCCGCGGCGTCCCATTCCGAGAAATTCCGCTCCGGGATGGCGGAGGAAGGCGAAGCTCGTAACTAATCGAAACGGTGCGGGCCTTCCCGAGACACCGTCCTGAAGGTTGGGAGGTATTTGTGGTCAGAAATAGGGTCGAAAAATGATAATTTCTTCTGTGGGAGGATGGAAGATGATGACAAAAATGAAAAAAGTGATCGATTAGAAGATGGTTTTCATTTCAATTACTGCAAAAGTGAAATTCCAACTACATAAGTTGATCCGATCTTTTAGGTCAAGAAGTCAGAAAAGATAAGTCAGAACAAAATAAGTTAGCCAGCGCTTTGGGATGGTCACGAAGACAGTGATCTGCGATAGGTAGCGTTTATGTGTATTTCGAAACCTCTGCCATCTTGAAATAAAGACTAAAATAATAGACCTCACCCAGCGAGTTTTATGACAGAGCAGGTATCCCAGCCCGCCCTGTGCTCATAACCCCCCCCCCCCCCCCCAGGACTTCATTGAGCCTTAGCGAATCGGATCACCACAACTTACGCTACCTGACCTAAGCTGCACTGAAAACAATTTAAAGGTAGTGTGCCACCTTTGAAAGATTTCCCATTTTATTTTTCCTAGGATAAGAAGCTCCTGTTTTTACCTAATATCGCAAAAAAAAATCAAAAATGGGCCTGGAATAGTGCCTTTTTCGCCTAAAAGTTTATCGGTTTTTCGATATGTATAACAACTGTAGTGGGCTCACCTGCAAACAGGCGTCGGCAACAATCGCGAATGCGGCGCACATGTGACAATAAGCAAAGGTCATTATAGTGTTACGACCATACGACGTACGGGAATGAGTTATCAGCTGTCTAATCGTAGACAACATAATGTCGAGCCTTAAACTGTAAGCCTGTATTGGTATTGTTTCTTTTATTTGGCTGTCGAACATTATTTATGGTTTGAAATATGATTTTATGTAAAATAATTGATATGAAAAAACCGTCTCATAAGTTATGACCCCATTTCACCACACGCAAGTGGCAGAAATGACAATGATCAGCTGACGCATTTTTCTTGGCCGAAGTCAGAGCGCGCAGCCCGACGCACCACCACCGCACCACAAAGTATGAGCAGAAGCCGCGCCCAAAGCCAGGGCCCCGGTAACGTGAGGTAGCCGAGTCGGGGCAGCGTGCGCTGACCCAAGCCGGGGCCGCAGCTTTGGGCGCGGTCTACCGCATCCCCGCGGGCAGCCCCGGGCTATCACATGACACCGGGAGGACGCGCGGCTCCGGCTTGGGTCAGCGCACGCTGCCCTGACTCGGCTACCTCACGTTACCGGGGCCCTGGCTTTGGGCGCGGTCTACCGCACCACCTAACAGGCGTGTTCGAAACCGCAGGAGCTGATGATGAACGGGTTTATCGAAACTTGATTGGATGAGCATATCGGTAATAGCGATTTCAGTGTGTGCATTTATTGTTCATAGTGGTGTGAAATGTGGTTGGGGTACGACCGACAACCCGTCGGGGCGAATTTCGCACTGGGGTACTCAAAATTTGAAGAATTTAAGACGTTTCCATGAGTTTTGAAGGTATGGATAAGTTCTAAAAATCCGGTTCTCCTTATCTGGGCCATTAACTCCATACGGTCCAGGAAAGCTGGCACACTACCTTTAACCCAAGGCCGGCGAGTAAACCGGTGTTTCGCGGGTACCCATATCCGCAACCATTTTTAACCACCCTCCCAGGAGTCAATTTAGGGCATTACACTTCGCAATTCACCCTGGAAAGTAGTAACCCTCCACGACTATTCGCGCATCAGTGGCTTGCGACCCCTCCATGGAAAGGTATTCATTGACGCCTACCTGACAGACGCGCCCCACAAACCCCCAAGAGAGGTATTACCCTCCACGCCTACCCTTCGCCGACCAAGTCACGAGGACCCAAAAAACTCCCACGAATGTCCATTTTTTAAAGAAGATATCTATAAAATGGCATTCTCACACCCAGAAAACATCGGTGAGAAAGTTTCATATCGGTGGGAAAGATCAATTCAAATTCCCATAAGTATTTCGACATGACCTCGTCACCATCAGTCATCCGAACTGCCCGATAGCATGAAGATGTGTCGCCACCGCTTTCGTGAGCTTTATAAGAATTAAAATGGTCTTAATCGATAGTTTCGGAAGAAAAAGCGCTGCCAATCGTCCCGTGATGTATATTGCAGAGGTTTTAAAGATGCACCCGAACAATTGTACTTTCGCCCCCACTTGGAAACCGCCAAACAATGTGCCAATATATCATTGGTGCAAAAAAAGTTCAAGAATTGTTGTAATTCAAAACTGTATTAAGACAGCGCCATCTAGTTGTGGTGGTAGAGCCAACTCCTTCAGAAAAGGTTATGTTAAGGTTCGCCATCCACGGATACGCGTATGCGATATCTCGAGTAGTTCCAACTCTTTCAGTGAGGACTATGCCAATGACTCGACAACCGCGGGGATAATATCCGGTGCTGGGTAGCTACCTTATCTTCGGACTGCAGGTACGGTGCATATTTTTGAGTAATAACGCGGGGTAGTCTGCTTACCCTCTTACCCTCTATCTGGACATGGCGAGTTAATACACATATACGACCCGCAGTGCAAAGCTAAATTCGCCAGCTCCGGGTGAAATTGTTTTCAGTGTGACCTGCCTCCACCCCACATGACATGACTTAGCTCAACTCATCTAGCTAGCCCCAGTTGATCTGAAATTTCGTCCCACCCCAGCAGTAGATTTGAGGACCCAAGGTCATCTACCCTTTCTCAGCTAAAGTCAGTGATTCCAGTGGACCTGACTGACCTCAGCTGACCTCCTCTCCTCCTCTCGCCTCCCCCCCCCCCAAACACCCACCTGACATGGAGACAATCGTGGCGATGATGACCACATTGGCCGCTATAACCGCCAGACATACTATCAGCACAATCAGCGCCGGCACGAGAGCCTCGGCGCCCAGCTCTGCTCCGTGTCCTCCTACCGACTCGAGCCCCATCGGCCGCCACGGGTGGCCCCCGGCAGCCATCGGACTGCACGGCAGCGACTGGCCGGGCCGCGCCGCGCCGCCGTCCTCACATCGATCCGACGTCGGCTGCGTCGGGCTCGACGCAGAGCTGCAGCTGCGAGCGGCGGCGGCTCGGCGGCTCGGCTGGGTCCCCTGCGGTCGATGGCGGAGACTGGATACCATGGAGAGGGGAGAGGCGGGGTACCACGGTACGCTCGACAGGTGGATGGGGTCATTATTCACATGGTCAGTTCAGTGGGATATGCAGTCGCACATTTTGATATGGAATCATGAACGGCATTATGGAGTACAATGTTATGGAGTATGTACGACATACCTAGCGGAAAATGCATGGGCTACATATGATGCGCCCAATATTAGGATATGGAGTCCAGTTCGAGTGGTAAATGACAAGTCCAAAGGTGAATGTGGAGCCGAAGAAGTGGACATATCACTTGATAGAATATCGAGTCCGGTATGTGGATGTGGAGCTCGTATGTGGGTCCATGAGTCGACTGTGAGTGGATGCACAGAGTCCTGTAGGTTGATATAAAATCTAGCAGGTAGGGGAGACCCGGGAGGTATGGGCCGGTTTTGTGAAAAGGCAATTTTCTTCCAGTGGGCAGTGGCTAGACCCGGTTCTTCACTCTGTGTATGTGAACTTGCCTTTCGCTTGCAAGGTGTGCCTGAAATTAGGCGTCTGGGATTAACTATTTTGTCTCGAGATAACTTTCAATAAATTATGCGCTTTTTCGATCTTTCAAAATACACCGGGAGGTATGGGCCATGGCCCGGGAGGCATGGGCCAGTGCTATGTTTCATATTCTTTTCTCGACAATGGGAACAATGCTCGTAGCTGGTATCTACCTTGATCTCTCTTGGAGCCCAGGAACCGCAAAAGCGACCAACAGCTTACTTCATGGAGTGGGTACACATGTATTTTGGTAAATTTAATCATGCTCCACGAAATAAGATAAATAATATTTTTCTGTTCGAATGAAATTTGTAGTTAAATTTTAGACCTTGCGCGACAAAAATGAAACTTATTGAAGAGGACATTCATTGAGTGCATCATTTTATTGATTTAGGATCAACTGGGGTGGGTGGCCCGAACCTCCCGGTTAGGACGCCATAATGTGCGTAGCATCTCAGCTCATAATCTTGCAAAATAGCTTCAAATTGTCTATCCCAGTCTTAATTTTCATGCTTTTAACTTTATGTTAGCGATGGTCTGACATCATTAAACGAGCCTGGTTCAAATTTATCACGAATTTCCTGTATGAAACGTGTTTTACTCGAAGAGGACAAAAACACTTTATCATCGCTCATTGTCAAAGAAGACTGAGGAAGATTTTGGAAATCGCCGTGGGTTATATAACGGAATGACTGCTACCAGTTTACGCGGTCAAATGTGTAAAAATACGCAACACTTCTTCAAAACTGCGATGGCCCATACCTCCAGGGGGCTCATACCTCCCGGGTCACCCCTAGGTGATGTTGGGTGTGAGTCAGGATATGACATATATCTGACACGAACTCCCGTAAACACGGGAGAGAATGCTGCAGAGCGCACTGCTGAGTTTCAAGTTATAGAAATGCAGGCGGCTATCGCTCGTGCCGAGTTGAAACTAATTCCAAGCCCTGCGAGCCCACGCATGAATGAAAATAGCGGATTAGGATATATCTAGAAGTTTATGAAGCTTCGGATATAGGTATCGCTTAGCATTCACGAATAGGTACTGTTGCGAAGAAGCTCAGCCGTGATCCAACCATTTACATCATGAGGCCTGGATTTTTCAATGGTCCGCTAATTGAAATTGACCGAGAGGCGGCGGATTCATTGGTCATTGTGAGACGATTTCCCACAGCGTCCGATACTAGGTATGTTATGTATACTTAGGCGTCGCTGTTCGGAAAGGAGCCTAAACAACTGCATTAAAAAATACTGTCTTAATTGCCCACTTCAGAGCAAAGGAGCGGAATACCAAGTTTTGTTTTATACCTACAGACTTTGAATGCCCCTCAACAGCGGTTAATAAGCATTAAGCATTGCCTCTCCTAGATCCGTTTTGGCTATAAACGATTCATGCGCCAACAGCAAATGCTCAAAATGAAACTTACATAACCACGACGGGCAATTTGTCTCAGCATGGCCATCTATCAGAAATCAGAATACATCTCAAAGTATTGGGGGACTCCCTATCACATATTTCTCAAACGCTGCTGAACGCCGAATAGAATTGCGCAATAAGATGTCTTCAGCGGCGTTCTTAGCAGGCTTTTCAGCCGATCGACAGAGATGAGGCGGCCGATTGCCATCGCCGACTATTTTTTGGTCGGGGGATCCGGAGGAAGCACGGCGCGTGCGGCGCTGCGTCGGCGTCGACTCGGCATGTCGTCGGCGGCGACGGCGGCGGCTGATCGTCGGCGATTTGTTTGGTATTGACCGCGGTACGAGCGTGCCGCCGCTGCCGGCGGACGGCGGACTCGAGAGGGAGTCCGGAGAGACCATAACACCGTCAGCAGATGAGGGATAAGAGGAGGGTGTCCTCCCTCCATGGAGAGGGAAAAGGTGGGACGGGGCGTAGGCGCCGACCCAGGGGCTGGATATAACCGGATATGAAGGAACGCAGCGACGGGATATGACAGAGATGATGAGACTTTGTGGATAATGGTGGGCTCAGGTCCAACAAACCTGCCGACTAAATGGGAGGCGGAGGACAGTCGGTGGGACGATCAGAACCGACAGACAATTGGCGTGATGTCTAATGGACGCGGCAGACACGTCTCACAGAAGCATCAAAGGCTAGACAACACTTTCCACGACATAGGGCGGTACGATTGGAGGCATGGATAGGGTATGTTTTGATGATAAACTAGAGCTACACTGAAAACAGTTTAACCCAGGGCCGGCGAGTAAACCGGTGTTTCGCGGGTACCCCTATCCGCAACCATTTTTAACCACCCTCCCAGGAGTCAATTTAGGACACAACACTTTCGCAATTCACTCTGGAGAGTAGTAACCCTCCACGACTATTCGCGCACCAGTGGCTCGCGACCCCTCCATCGAAAGGTATTCATCGACGCCTACCTGGCAGCAGCGCCCCACAAACCCCTAGGAGATGGAGTTACCCTCCACGCCTACCCTTCGCCGACCAAATCACGAGGGCCAAAAAAACTCCCACGCTTGAACATATTTGCGGGAAAATATCTATATTATAGCAATCTCACACCTAGAAAACATCGGTGAGAAAGTTTCACATCGGTGGGAAACGTCAAATCGAATTCCCATAGAAATTTCGACATGACTCAGTCACCGGCAGCCATGCAGACCGCCCGAAATCAAGAAGATGTGTCGCCGCTGCTTTCGTGACCTATATAAGAATCAAAATTGTCTCACTTGGTAGTTTCGGAAGAAAAGGCGTTGCCAATCGTCCCGTGATGAATATTGCAGAGGTTTTAAAGATGCACCATAACAATTGTACTTTCGCCCCCACTTGAAAACCGCCAAACAATGTGCCAACATATCATTGGTTCAAAAAAAAGTTAAAAAATTGTTGTAATTCAAAACTGTATGAGACAACGCCATCTAGTTGTAACAGTAGATCCAACTCCTTCAGGGCAGGTTATGTAAAGGTTCGCCATCCACGGATACGCGTTTACGATACCTCGAGTAGTTCCAACTCTTTCAGTGAGGGCTATGCCAATGACTCGACACCCGCGGGGACAATATCCGGTGCTGAGTAGCTACCTTACTGCAGACTGTGGGTACGGTGCATATTTACGAGTAATAAGGCAGGCAAGTCTGCTTACCCTCTAGCTAGAATCTAGACATGGCGAGTTAATACACATATACCACCCGCAGAGCAACGCTTAATTCGCCAGCTTCGGGTAAAATTGTTTTCAGTGTATTCATATGTGGTCTAATAGCACAACAGTTGTGGCTATCGCGGCAAGAAGTCCCACAAATACACAAAACTACTCTTGCTAGTCTTGCCCCATTGCATGTAGGGGAGAGCGGGGTCAAATGTAACACGGGGCAATTATAACAGTGTTAATAATTCGTAAACTTACCAATAGAATAAGCTGATGTTAAGACCAAAAATGCGTAATTCTATGCTGCCATTCCTAACGGAGTTTGAAGCGAAAGTGCCGGGTATGTCGATGGCTGTGCACAGTAATGCGTTTTTGAGGGCATTTTGTAAATTTTATGCCAATATATTTGATTAGCTCATTCGCGCCATTGAAAAGCTATCGACTTCAGACTTTGTGTAAGCGTTGACAGGTTTGTTGTCCATAAATTGAAAGCATTAACCCGCGCCCCGTTGGGCTCTGCCGAGCAACGCGCCCGGTTGGGGGGGGGGGCCATTTTGGCCCCCCCCCTAAGATCTCGAGAACCACGCAACATAGCGACAAGCGGTAAACGGCGTTGGATAGCCCCAACGGGGAACTACCTTGTGACCCAGTTTTATTGACCTAGGTCAAACCGATGACGTCACAGGTCAGGTCAAAGGTCCAATTTTCACCGTTTACAGGCACTTCAAGAAATGCGTCGTAAAAACGAGTAAAATGCATTTCATTGAAAATCATCGATGGGGAAATGTTCTTCAAACACATATTTTGCTATTTGAGGTCACTGATACCAGGTCAGGTCACAGAGGTCAGGTCACGGGGGGTCACAATATGAAAGTTTCGTGTGATACATGTTTTATGGTCCATTTTACATGACAAATGCGATTATATGGGTCAGGCAGCCTTTGGGGCCAGCTTAGATCACGTTTTGGTCAAGGTCAGGTCAAGGTCAGGTCAAGGTCAGGTCAAATTAGGTCAAATTTCAAAGTTAATATTTTTGCATAAAATGGGTATCGAATCGATGCAGCTCGTCACGGGGAGTTCAATGGTGGTCTTTGTTTTGCCGTACGTGGTCTAGAATTGCTAAAAATTGAGTTCAAAAATTTGACGTCATCATTTTTGAACAGTTTTTTCGCTATAACTTGGCCAAAAAAACGAGATATCGATCTGAAATTTGGTATGTATAT